CGAAATAATATGCTTTACACCATTGAGTCAGTATCTGATTTTTTTTAATTGTTTTTAACTGTAATCATTTCGCAATATTAACAATAATTCTAAGCCAGTTAATTCTAAGTTTTAACAAAATATTTGCCAATAAAAAATATAGGGATTAGGAATTATACTAGTGGGTAATCGATATAAAAAGCAATTCATATCATCACTCTTGGCGGCCTGCTTGAATATCTGGGCTACTTGTTCCTCCGATCTAGATATTTCTTCAAGTTATCTGTTTTGTTGTTTGTTTTAGCACACCATTATGTCTATTGTGCTCACAATCTATTCAGGCGCGTTTATGAAAAGTTTACAACCTTTCGCTATACGTGATGCAAAAACGTACAATCAGCGACATCATAGTGGCTGGCAATATGCATTGAAACGAATGAACATTAATCAAATGTGGATTACCGAACTCCTAGCATCTAACTGGTCATCTTTCAAAATTTATAGTCATAATCGATCAAGGTATAAGAAAAGGAAACTTGTTGAAATACTTTATGCTGAGAATTCTATGTTGTACCAAAAATATAATGTTGAATAAAGCTTCTAATAATAATATTAAAAAAATTCCTGGGTTCGAATCCAGCATGTAGGATCGTGAATGCGCATTATCGAGGAGTTCGTACTAGCACAAAACAGTCATCTAATGCTTCCAGGTTTTTAATGATGGTCTAACTTAGATTAACTCTTGAATTCAACTTTCGAATACCCGGAATTATTGGATAGCTCAGTTTTTTTCGTCTAGAAACTCAATAAACTAGAACTATGTTTCAAACAAAATACATTTAATTTCATTAGTTAAGATCATGAATCAATTAAAGCTAAACCACTATGGAAAACCTAGAAGCATTAGACATCTGTTTCATTGTAGTATGGAACTCCTCAGCAGTGTGTAACCACGTCTCCGCCTCGCGAGATTCTAAATTACCATAATATTCACATAAAGTTGATCAAGCATTATAAGCAGAGATGGATAGTGGCTAGCAGTAGAATCCAGGACGCGCGTTTCGTCCTGTTTGGGACTCGTCAGATGGATGTACGTGCATCTCAGAGTTGATGTTCACTCTGGGACTCGAACTCAGTACCGTTCGCTTCAAACGCCATCGCGTTATCCACTTAGCTACTGAGTCCTGATAGCCACTTGCTTGTGCAATGGGGTGAAGTGAATAAAGTTGATCAGTTAATTTGATGATCTTAAATTTTCATGAAAAAAAAGAAGAAAATAAATGAAAGTGATTTTGTAAAATAAACTGAACTCTACTATTTTCTTTTTCTCCTCCTATAATTTTTTTTTCTTTTTTTTGTTTTCCATGTTTCCTCATATCCCAAAGCAATACATATATATATATCTATGTACGTCTGTATGTATGTGTGTGTTTTATGTATAAAGATAATGAATTCAAAAAGATTTGAAGTAACCTTTGATCATAAATAAATAACTGATCTCTATCAATAGTGTTTCTGTGTATTTTATTTATTTATTTATTTATTCGTGTTTTGTGCGTGTGTGTGTGTGTTGTACATCCTAGAGTGTGTATGTGTGTATGTGTGCATGTATATATATGTGTATATGTCTGTTTGTGTGGTTTGTGTGGATAAACAAAGGAAGAACAATTAGTCTCATTATTATTATTATTATTATTATTATTATTATTATTATTATTATTATTAAAGTTTATTATTATTCATAATAAAAGTTATGTCTCATGTAAATTGATCTGGATGATTGATCTTTATTTAATAAGATATTCAATATTCAATATATTTTTTAATAATAATAATAATCATTATTATTATTATATTGACAACTGATATCGTTCATTCAATAAAACTAAATACATAAATGTCTACTAATCATTTATATCGGAATTATTATTACTGGTGGTAATAGTAGTAGTATTGTTATTACTAATGAGTAGAAGTTTACATTTCCGCATACATTGAGAGTAATAAATATCGATTATTTTCTATATAATATATGTATTTCATTAATGTAGATGATCTGTGTTAAGTGTTGAGGAGTTGCACAATAGGATGAGGCAACCATTCAGTGCTTTCAGGTTCTCCATAGTGGTCTAGCTTTAATTCATTCATGATCTCAAATATTGAAATTACTACAATCTCTATAAAATCCCCTTCTGATACTAATCAACATATGTTCACTAGTGACTAGCTTCAAGTGATATATCCTGGAGTTGTAGTAAGAAGTAGTGACTAGTGGAGTCCAACCTGGTATGTTATGAGATAGTAACTCACTGAACACAATGGTGGATGTGTCACTCAATTTCGTGAATTGGTCGAAGTTGAACATTAACACCGTTGGATGCCGACTGGTTCAGTAGTCTAATGGTTAAGCTTCCGCTTGCGAGACTGATAGGTCCTGGGTTCGAATCTCGCGAGGTGGGATAGTGGGTGAACACTGCCACGGAGGATTCCCACGATAGGACGAAACGGCCGTTCAGTACTTCGAAGTTTTGTATAGTTTTCTAGCTTCAATTGATTCATGATCTCAACTATTGAAATAAATGTCTACTTTTCATTTCCGCATACCTTGGGAGTAACAAATATCGATTATTTTCTATATGATATATGTAGTTCACTAATGTAGATGATGTCTCGAACCATTAGAGGCTTACTCGATTTAGAAAGGAATGGCGTTATGAATGAGTTAACTTCGAAGTTACACCTCATGGTTAGTACCTAATGTGGATAACTCTTCTGTTGTATCAAGATACTATGACTGTTCTGAAGACCGTATAACACTAGAAGGAGTTTATTATAGAAATGCATTAGTAAGAGTAATTAGAAGGATGAGAGTGTGACCATCATCACATGGATCAGTCTATGAAGTGTGTTTACTGGATAGGTGTTGGCTTTCCCTGAACTTGGCGAGGATCAGTGAACTGCTCGACATTTAATGTCAATTAACGAAGAACAACAGTAACTGATGTGAATGTAAAAATGAAATTTCATACATAAAACAAGTATGATTATTATTTGTAGTCAAGCATTGTTTTAAAGTAATCGTAACATTAGGCGAAATGACTATTCGATTAATCCCGCTTGGACGATATTGTACACAAACATACCAACAAAACTCGAACCACAAAGAGCTGACAATTCGATATATTCCTATCCAGTGAAGTTTGAAAATTGAACAATAAAACTACCAAACATACAAAATTATAATAAACTATTCATAAATACTCATAAATCAGAATGTTCTACACAATGGAGACATTCTGTCTGGAAACATTTAATATTCATTGAAGAGAAATCGTCTTCACTTATAAATTTATGGCTCTTTATATCAATCAGAACATGTTTCAGCATGTTCCCTAACATTATCATTACCATCTGATTGATAGACACTGGACAGAATTTGACTGTTTTAAAACATCCATTATTATTATTATTATCAGAATGGGTTTTGTGGAGATTTTAGAAATTTCACAGATTGAAATCATGAGTCAGTTGAAGCTAGACCATTCTGATAATAATAATCACCTGCTCACTAGTGACTGATTTCAGGAGACACTTCTGGAGTTCTATTGAGAAGTCGTTACCAGTGGAGTTCAACCAGGTCTGTTGTGAGATAGGAACTCACTGAGGACAATGGTGTACGGTAGCGCAACTTCGTGGATTGGTTGAAGTTAGACATTAACACCATTGGATGCCGGCTCAGTGGTCTAATGGTTAAGTGCTCGCGCGCGAAGCCAGTAGGTCCTGGGTCCGAGCCCCGGGTGGTGCGGGGTCGTGGATGCGCACTGCTGAGGAGTCCCATACTAGGACGAAACGACCGTCCAGTGCTTCCAGGTTCTCAATGGTGGTCTAGCTTCAACTGACTCATGATTTCAATCTGTGAAATTATTATTATTGTTATCGCCATTATTTTTATTGATATATTCTCTCTTTTTACTGCTTGGATATCTGATGATCATTTATATATTTCAACGTTTATAAAAATATAACTAAATGCTGAGTTAGTGGCTTAAAGATTGAACAAGTGTCATGAAACATGAAGGTCCAAGGCTCGACACTTAGTGATATCGTGGATACATACTGTTTACAGATCCTATACAAGGATGTAACGGCTTTTTGGTATTCATTGGTTGTGTAAACAAGATCCGTTACAGATGTGAACTATGAAATCCAATAGTTTACTAAATTTCAATTAATGAGTATCTGATGGTGGAATACACGACACTTATATCATCTAACTTTTGAATTCGTCAACTAGATGTATCCTCATCTCAGTGATAATGTGTTCTTAATGTAAGTCAGACTAATCACTATCTGGTTTAATTTTCTATTGCATTTTATACTGATCTGTTAATTTACATTAAAAGGTTTTGTGAAGATAATAGAATGTTAGATCAGGAATAAACCATCAATAAAAACTGATAAACATTAGACAACTGCCTTATCCTAGTATGCACATCATTGGATTCTCACTCAATGGTGTTAACATTAAACATTCTCGTGTGTGAGACTAAAGTTCGGAGTTTGTTTTCCTGTAGAGGGAAAGAATATATATATACTGTCAATGAGGAACCCTGGTATATCATGGAAATGACTACCTATTATTTCCTAGTTCAGTTAATAATTTATCTTCTCATATTAAAATTACTGTGGTATATGCTACTTAGGTCGATATATACAAGTAGTATGTAATATCAATCGGAAGTGAAAAACCTAACGGCAGCACAAGGCTAAGGAGATCGAGTTGAAGAGAACAGAAAGGACAACAGAAAAGAATTATGATCTGTAAGTAACATATTGAATGTGTAGGACAAATAACAGAAATTCGCAAATGAAGTATTCAACGTATAATTCTTATATTTTATCAAGCTACTTTGTAATTCTGCTTTAGAATACAATGGTTGCCACACACAATTTCTCACCTGAGTTCTCGACGATAACAGTATTCTGGTAAGCGTTTTTTTAACCAGTTAGTTATCTACGGGATGGGGCCGCTAACCCCATACCCAACCCTCTTCCTTTACCCGGGCTTGAGACCGGCAGTAACTCTAGAAGAGCTACAGGCGGAGTTCGATGACAACAGTAAATTCATTCATTTATTTTTATTTCAAATTATTTATTATACAAATACTACTACTGCTATTACTACTACTACTACTACTACTACTACTACTACTACTACTACTACTACTACTACTACTACTATCACCACCACCACCACTAGTACTACTACTACCACTAGTACAATCACGACTACCACTACTACTACTACTACTACTACTACTACTACTAATAATAATAATAATAATAATAATAATAATAATAATAATAATAAAATTATTGATTTTTCTACCACTCATCATAAAAATTCATTTGATTGACAAACTTTTAAATGATCATTTTTTTCATTTAATTAATTTACTAAAACATTGAAACATTTAATTACAGTCAAATTGACATTCATTAAGTCTTTTCAATTATTAATTACATACTCTATGTATCTATATATATTTAATGATTGATATAATTTTATATACTTTTTTATTATAGTGCAGTGAGCGAACACTCAGTAAGAGAAGATCAATCCAATGCAATACTTACGAGTGTTATCCTTCATAGAAGGGATGCATAGGCCATCCATCAGTATTCTCCAACCAACTCTATTCTAGAGAGTCCTTTCCAGTTGTTTCCAGTTACTATTCATCCTTTTCATATCTGCTTACGATTTTTGATACAGTGTGTTCTATAGTGTTCCGCTTTTCCGTTTCCCTTTAGGATTCCAGATAAGCGCTCGATTCATGATGCAGTTTGGTGACTTCCGTAATGTTTGTCCTATCAAATTCCATTTTATTTCCCTAATTTTCTCTTTAACTGGAAATTGGGTTGTCCTCTCACACAGTAAGCTGTTGCTGATGTTGTCCGGTCAACAGACATTAAGTATATGAAAACCATACATTAAATACTTCATTTGTAAATCTTTCATCAATTATTATTTAAATCCTTCATGATTCTTGTGAATCCCAATTCTTTTATGTTTCTCTTTCTCCTTTGTTAACTTCAGTGTTTTCAAACTCTTTTTTTTTGACGGGCGTTTCACTTTTGATTGACGTTTCATACTACTTATATCTGTTAACATAAGTAGCATACACCGAAATGGTATTGAACGAACCAGTAAAAGAAAGCAAATCTGGGATAACATTTCATAACTTACTTTTAACGCGGTGATGAGTGTGTGTGTGTATGCAAAGAGAATTGTAGTAAAATGTGTTACTGTTAAAGATAGCAGTGTATGAGTACATTTGTAATTGATTAAAATACTGTATAGTTATCTACTCTCTATTATTCTATAATTAGGAATCATGGACTTTAAAAGTAGGTGACATGTATAGATTATAGGATATGAGATCATGTATTGTGGACCAACCAAGTGAGTAATGTTGAAGTTAAGCACAAACCATTTGAGAAAGATGATAAATCGGTTAGTGAGATTGTAGACTTTCAAATCGACTGATTTGGTTTGAACATGTGTTACATAAGTCCAACCACTGCCTAGGTTGGAAGAAAGCTAAGGATAGTCTACCTTGTTGAGGTCTACACGATAACCTCGATCAGTGATTGAAGGCGTCCAGCGATAAATTCCATCATATATACCTTCTATCCACTGTATTTTCAAACTATATTCTCACTACTCAGTGTATTACACTATAACTGTTGCTACAGTTGTTTCGATTCCTTCATTATTTATCTTGTTACTTCATCTTGATATGACAAATCAAGCCAATGTATAATTATTTTATGCTATACGTTGATTATGAATAACTGAAGTAATTAAAAATCATTGATGAATATCTTTATCTTCAATGTTTGTACAGTTTATCTGAATACTATGACAGAATGAATGTTTTTCAGCCTGTGTCAGTTGTTAAAGCGTTACTTACTGAAGACAATGGAAGATGATCTTGTAATATTGTGGATTGATTAAAGTTAGACATTAACATCGTTGAATGCCGGTTAATTGGTTTAAAGTTTAAGCGTTTTCATGTGAAATCGGAGGTCGTGAATTCGATTCCAGAGTTCTTGATCGTAGGAGTGCACTGATAGGGAGTTCCATACTGGGATAAAACGGCCGTCCAGTTCTTCAGGTTCTTCAACGGTTGTCTAACTTCTATCAGTTCATGATTTTAACAATCTTCATAACCCTATACTGAAAACATTTGTAGATTTATATTAATAATGATCATTTACCAAGTTGTATGTTCACCTTCATATCACTAACTATTTTTCACTTTATATATTTATCGATATTTATTTGTATTAGATACAACGCTTCGTTATGACAGTGCTTAACATGCTCATAAATCTTTAAGGTAGTGTTGTTAAAATCAGAAGGGCTTTTTGTGGATATTATAGTAATTTCAATAGTTGAGATCATGAGTCAAATGAAGCTAGAACACCATGGAAAACCTGGAAGTACTAGATGGCCATTTCGTTCTATTGTTGGACTCCTACATGACAGTACGCATCCACGATCCCACCTCGCGAGATTCGAACCCAGAATTTATCAGGCTCTCACGCGAGCACCTAACCACCAGTCAGCAACCAACGGTGTTAATGTCTAACTTCAACCAATCCACAAAATTGAGCCACACATCCACCATTATCATTAGTGAGTTATTATTTCACAACAGATCCGGTCGGACCTATCAGTTTCGCACGCAAGTCGGGATCGTAGATGCGCACTGCTGAGGAGTCCCACAGTAGGACGAAACGGCTATCCAGTGTTTCCAGGTTTTCCATAGTCGTCTAATTTCAATTGACTCATGATTTCAACTATTGAAATTTTATTAAAGTTTACCGATTAGGAAAAACTGATCAAATTTGATCAATAAAATAACAATTAGACCTAGTAACAAAATAAATTTTTCATTATTTTTTTAAAAATTAAATAATAAATCTAACTGTGTTTCAGCTTATTCTTATGCACAAACATCTTTTTTTGTCTCTATCCTACTACACACACTCACATTTTAATGATCATTTAATGTTCCTCATTAAAATGTCAAAAGATGACTTGATTATTTGACAATTCTATTCAATAGAAACTAATTATTATCTTTGAATAAATAGATCTTCAGGTAAATGGATACTTTGTATACAATTAAAGTAAACAATATATGAGCAAAAATAAACGTCGATTTCAATATATGTTAATACTAAAGTAAGAAATGGATGAAAACTGCTAATGTTTATAGGTGGAGATGGATGATGGTTAGTAGCGGAATTCAGGATGCTTGTTGTTTCACTTCATTTAAGATTCGTTAGTTGAAAGTACCTGTCACATTCTAGGGTATATATTCACTTTGAAACCCGGACATATAATGTGTTATCCACTTAACTATCGAGTCTAGATAATGGGGTGAACTTTAATTCATTTGTAATGGTTGTTTGAATCTTCTCATTGATGCTTAATAAGGCAGTTGATCAGTCCCTGTGGATAAGATAATTGAATAAGGTGATGACCTTTGACATGAATGGCACTAAATTCGAGTCTAGTAATGAAGGTCAACTCAAGGATGTGTCAGATACATCTACCTAACGTTCAGTGCATCCAGGTTTTCAATGGTGGTCTAACATTCATCTATTCATGATATCAACTGACAATGAATTGATCAGCATTTTAATTTACATTGAAATTGATCTCGATTTCACTACAAAACCAACTAAACTGAAATTGAATGACAATTAAGTGATTAGGTAGATTAGTTAAACTAATCTATTCTGGAGGCTTTGAATGACTCGAAAAGAGATCTTGAGACTTGCCGATCAATTATTAACCAATCAGATTGTAGCTGTCATAAATAAGTTTCATACCATGAAAAACCCGGTAAAATTGTAAAGAACTTTGGTTTTGAACGCCAGAATCCTAATTCTATTATCCTAACCATAATAATCGTAACTCTAATTCTCTTAAACCTAACACTCGCAACTTTAATGCGCCCAACTCTAGCAGTCCTGATTGTAATACCTCTGAAACAAACCTTATCTCCGAACTTAATGACTTCTTTGTATGTTCAGAGAGGGGTTTTATAGATATTATAGTACTTTAATAGTTAAATTCATGAACCAATTGAAGCTAGACCACTGTGCAAAACCTCGAAGTACTGAACGGCCGTTTCGTCTTAGCATTTGGCTCCTCAGCAGTGCCTATTTACGACCCCGCCTCTCGAGATTCGAACTCAGAACCTATCAGTCTTGTGCGCGAACGCCTAGCCACTAGATCATTGAGCCAGTCGATAACCAACGGTGTTAATGTCTAACTTTAATCAATCCACGAAGTTGAGCTACCGTCCTCCATTGTCATCAGTGAGTTACTATCTCACAACAGACCCGATTGAATCCCACTGGTCACAGCTTCTGTATGTGATTTCCTGACCATAGTTGTATAAAATGCTTTATTCTCAATAGCGAAACGTTCTGTAGATAATCTACAATTATACTACTAACCCAATTAGCCAAAATCTGTAATCCCATTTTAAAGATAGCGTATAAATTCAACAATCACTATTTTTATTATGTTTAATTTGATTCAATTTATTTCAAAGTCGTCAGTATAGTTCAGTTCTATTGTAAGAGTGATTGAGAATGTATAATACCATATATGTGTCGTGGCATAGTATAACTTACTTTAATTTTCAATAAGACTGAACTATCAAATATTTATTAATTAACTGAAGATTCATCGTAAAACTTTATAGTGCACCTGAATTAAATGATGCTCCAGTAGTCAGAAGGGGAATCAGCCTCATGATTTCCAAAACATATCGACTTCCCCCACAAAACGTCATAATTCTTCTAAATGAAGATCTTTCATATCCCAGGGAAGAGTTTAAATGTTTCAAGTGATTTTCTCGGGTCATCGTTTTCTTTTTAGCAAGGTTGTATTCTACAGGATTAGGTTATTAACTTCATGTTCAACTCTCCTTCTTTATCTGGGCTTGTGACAGACAGTTACTTTAGAAAGGCTCCATGCGGAGCCATACATAAGACAACCTATTGCATCTGAATTACAGTCAGTACCGTAATATGCTCAAACAAATAGTAGATGTCAATATCGGTAAAAATGTACAACATGAATGAGCCAATCAGAATAGAGAATGAGAGTACCAAGTTTTTGCGCGAAAATCAAATACCAGTTCGAACAAGAAATGGAAATATGTTTACATACTGTTCAAAACGTTCACAATGTTGGAGTAAAAATGGTAGTGTTAATTGTAGTCAATGCTAAATTTACTCTATATGGAGTGTACGTAACAGGTAAAACAATAATATCTCTTAATTCTAATCCTAAACACTTCATTTCGGAACGAACCTCAACTAGGAG